CAGCTTTGAAATCAGTAAAATCAATAGATTTTTCTTCCTTGCGTTGGTTGGTCATATGAATCTATTTGAGAATCTTCTATGAGATACTTTTGTATCCCCACTCCTTATTGGAGGTATTTGGCTAGCCATGCAGTTTTTAGCTTTTTTCTTTGGTGTATCTGTGCTATTCGCAAAAAGTACACTAAAAATTCTCTGTTGTCTAATATGAGAGATGAATTCTCAGTGTGATTCAGTTCTTTTGTTTGTTAGTAAGGTTTAAGACTTGCAAAATCGGGCTGAGCTATTAGTACGGTGGTTTCTAGCATGACCTCTTTTATGTTTTCCTCTGCAATACAATAGAAGTTACCTCATTAGGTGATGACATTTCCTATTTTTCCAAGATTTGATTTCGTATTTAATTATATTATGGATTTAATTTTGCCAGAAATTAATATGCAAGGTCTTTTCTAAAAATTTCTTGAGATGGACTGCATCTCTATTGTAATTCACAGTAAGACTGTAGTACAGATTCCGTTCCTATCACTGGTTTTTAACATATTAGATTATTTATTGATTGACCTTTTTCCTTACGTAGTGGATCACGTCTTTACAGTAGATTTCGCTAATTGCATCCCACTCATCTTCTACTATAGGTAGAAATACAGGCTCTTGCTAATTTCTGGAGCCATGCCATAGAAATTGAATCTTCTTTGTCCCAAGCATCAAAGAAGTTCTGCGGGTTCTAGTTCGGTATCTAAAAGATGGTTGAACTTGTTTTTTCCCTTTAAGATTGTCCAAATTAATTAGGACCATCTCAAATAATTTTTGCCTGTGAAACGATTGGCGACCTGAATTACCTGAAATTTGCAAGTAGAATTCCCCAAAGAGAGCGTGTTCAAGTGTTTTGGGATGTTACTTCTTTAAGATCGAATAAAAATCATAGGAAGAATTTTATAAGGAGGTCACCTGGTTGCATGCGTTTGGTTGGAGAGGTTGCTGGGAAAGCTCCTAGGCTGTGGCTAGGAATGTCTCTGCTGGAGCCGACTGGGAAGGCCGCTGCACTAGGCACAACTGGATGCAGGAAGGGAGCCGTGGTTGCAGCTCCTTTGCTGTTACTACTGGCGATGAAGGCTGGTTTAGGGTAGACTGGTGGCCGCGGCAATGCAGGTGTGTAGTTCTGGCGGCTGGACAGACACCCAAGGGACCGCAACTGTGCTATGTGGACAAGATATGGGGACGTAGATGAAGGGATCTGGATGTGCAGCTGAGGCAGAAGGTTGCGCAGCTGATGGCTATGCACAAAAAAGCAGAATGACTGGTTTGTGTGGTTGGTGTGGTAGGCCTGTGTCTATTGGAGCAACCATGTCTGAGCAGTAAAAATGCAATCTGTACGACTCAGGAGTAGGGTCAATGCTGTAAGATAGGCCTTGATTGGATTGCTGCTGTTGTTAGGAATGAAAGCAAGTCTTGGCTATTGATGTAAAAGCCCAAACTCCTATCAAGAATTTCGAGTATTTAGTCTTATTATAATAATATAGTAATACTGAAATTATTATAGTACAGGAGAATGAAAATTTAAAGGTTACATTTCTTGCATATTTACTTAGAATACTCAATATGGGCTACTAGAATGTTCAGAACTTAAAACGAAAAAACTACTATAAAGTAATAATTAACCTCAATTCGAATCTAGCAGAACAGAAAGAGATAATGTCCTAACTATTTTTTCACTGTTCGGGGTCCGGATCTTGATCGTCTTGATTTGAAATGGTTAATAGAAAGGGGTAAGTTACACTACTTCAGTAAGAATATAAGTAATTTACCATTAATACGAAAATTAAATGATTGTAGAAAACATAAAACGATCGATAAAGTATGCTTTCAATGAAATCCTAATGCTAATGCATCGCTTATCTGTTTACTGAAAATGTTATTATTTCGTTTCCCAACTAGTAATATTTCAAACACAACATACTAAAATAAAATCAGAGTGGCGATTTAAATACAATAAACAGACATTCTAATGACATATAACGTTGGGTTCCTTATTATTTGCCCGAAATTAGGTTACCTACCATACCTATTCTCGTCATATTATTTCATTCTCCTTACAGGTATTGTTGGGAGCCTATAGGGATCCTCGTTACGCGTGGATACAAAATACTTTTTTTGCAAATCACCAGCCGTTCTCATACTCCGTCCGATAATGAACGTCACAAATTAAAGACCGTCTCAATACCCCGTCCGGTATAAATGAAATTAATTAACTCTCAACCCCATCCGATATGGGACTTCCTAACCCTCTACGGTTGAGGATACATTCACGGTAGGGTTCATTCTATCTACTAAGTCTGTACACTCTTTTCCATGATACCCGGTTAGTCCTTTTTATCTATTTACGCATGCATATATTTCATTATTATTAAGCCCCATAAGACCCGTACAAGAATATGAAATTCATGTTTTGAAAGCCGTTAAGGGATAAAATCGCAAATAGAATTGAAGTAAAATGGTATAATAGAATAAGACCTCTTATTTTGCAATAATATGATTAACAAAATGAAACAGATAAATCAGGGTGAAATTAACAAGGCAGAATACGATAATAAAGCGGAATGAAATAAACTATAACAAAATAACACGAAGCGAAGCGGAATGAAACAAAATACAACGATTCAAGATGCGTAATTAATATATTAGTTCTAAATAGACATAGCGACATAAAAATGAAAATAGATCAGACCAACATAAAAGAAATAGATGACCACAAAATAAGTAAATAAGCAAGGAAAGACGAAAATAAAATAAAAATAAAAATAGTAAATACAATAAGATAAGAGTCGGGATAAAAATAACGAATAGATAGCACAAATTAAAACTAGTGACAAACATAAACAATCGATTAACTGGCTCCATCGGCAACTTGTATTTAATTATTAAGGAATCACAAAATTGTTTAGAATAGTAGTTTATTATTGATTAAACTTTGATATAATCGTAATAGGAAAAAGGGTGAGGGATTCTTATACTGGGTCGGAGACCAGAACACCGCCTCTCTCAACTATGGTTCGCGGTAGCTCCCAACTCTCGGATTTCTTTGAGTTTTCTAGTGGAATTTGGAAACACGCATCAAAATGGTGTAGAAACACGTAAAGGGCAGTGAAAAAGAGCAGAGGAAACTCACTGGGGTTGGTTTGGGGTTCCGACATGGCGGCACAACCGAGCTCTACCGTCTGGTTCTCCTTCTCCGGCGCTCCTCTCTCTCGACCAAATCGAATATGGTAGGTTTATGATGAAAATCAGCTTAAAACGTAGAAGGAGAGTGTTTTACGAAAAAAGGAGGAAAATTTTCGGCCTTATCAGCATCGGTTCATTTTCCGGCACGTTGGCATAGCCGAGCTCCGCCATTTGCTCTCTCTCGGGTTACGGCTTTTCTTGGGTTATTCTGCATCAAGGATAGTTTAAGTGGTTTAGGACGGAAAAATAGAAAGAATGGGAGAAAATCGTGCTTACCGGTGTTGTTTTCGGTTTTCGGTACGGCGGCACCGTTGTCTCTCTGGCAACTGAGCTCCCTCCGGCGTCCCCTTCTTCTTCCGGTCGATTTGGTGGCTATAGTCTGGGAGGCCAACCGAATAAGAGGTTTAAATATCTCTCTCCCTTCAATATGGGCTGTCCATTTGGGTCTGCGTAGATCAATAGGAGCCGTCTGATCTTGCTTACTTAGGGCATCTCAGATTCTCCTCCCTTATGCGTTTCGGATCGTTTGATCGATCAATCCTGCGAATTTGAGCCGTCGATCGTGCGACCGTTGAATCCATCACGTGGGTGATCAAGGCCACTCGTTTGAATTCAAGCGGGATCGAGATCTGGCCGTTCGTGCGAGCGGGAACGAACTGGAGTCGCTTGATCCCTCAGGCACGCGGATCGCCAGTGTGGCTTCCTATATGGAGAGGCCTGCTGACATGCTTGCCACGCGGTGTGTCCTGCTTCGCTGTGCTGCTGACGTGGCCGTCCTACGTGGACCGTTTCCTGATTTTCCAAGTTCCTTTCAAGCGAATCCCCTTTTATTATACAGATTGGCCTTGATTTCCGAAATTTGTTTCAAAAAGATCCAAAATGAATTTTTTCTTTATTATTTTGCACTTTCTTAATAAATAAATTTTTTTATTGTTATTATTATTATTATTTTGATTATTATTATTATTATTTTTATTATCATTAACGTATATAAAAAAATCAATCTTCCTTATTTCGAAATTAATCATTCCTGAGCTCAGGATGTTACAATTGGTGACTGGTGGCTGGTGTCTGGTGGCTAGTGTCTGGTGGTGGCCCTGGACTATGATGGCCGACTATGAAGGCTAACCCTTTTTTTAATGGTTTTTCTTGTTTCGACAATGAAGGCTGAATAGAACTTATAAAAGAGTTTAGGGTTCTTTTACCCTAGGGTTGTGATACCATATTGAATGTAACAGTTCTATATATACATGTTTTCTAAAATAGAAAATGAAATATACAATTAACTCTAGGATATGTTTTATCCTTATACCCTAATTTACTCTTCCTTTAGGATGCAGTCCTTTTTATATTTAACAAGTGTGTTTTGGTATAATGGATAGGGTTAGCAAGTCTAAAACTATTGCATATAGTGTTAATAAATACGATATAGTGACTAAATTAGTGTTATTTACCCACATTGAGATATCTTAAACTCATTTACAATGAATTGTTATGAATTCTTCCTTCTTTGGATGTTTATATTTATGTATATTGCGGTAGCTTCAATACACGAACTTGCATCTCTATTCAGTGCATGCATTCGTTAAACTCATTAAAAGTGCATATTGCACTCTCCGAATCAATTTTCTAGAAATAGTTTGAGCTAAATGTTGTTGAAGCATGGCTTTATTTGTTCATTTCTTAATGAGTTACTCACTATCTCAAAAAAGAATTGATTTTTCAGCAAGAATTTGAACTAATGCTGTTAACAAATGGCTTAACTTGTTTATTCCTCTATCCAGAAGTTTGATTCAGTAACTCGGTACCACTTAAAGGATGGTGGTTTGAGCTTCTTCAGTGACATAGCACTGCTCCTTATTGATGAAGTCCACCTACTGAATGATCCACGTGGAGCTGCACTGGAAGCAATTGTCAGTAGGATAAAAATGCTTGCTCGCAATTCTGAAATGAAATCAAGTCCTTTAGCTTGTGTCCGTTTTCTTGCTGCCTCAGCCACAATTCCTAATATTGAGGATCTTGGTAAATTTTGCACTCAATGACAGCTGCTTTCTGAGGAGCTACTATGCTTAATTTTTAACTTTTAACTTGAAACAACTAATTATGATGCATTTGACAATTTTTTATTGCACATCAAACTCTAGGGGAATGGCTCGAGGTTGCAATCCAAGGAATTAAAAGGTATTTTTATGGGCTATGTGATGGGTGAATTCCTCTAAACTGCCAGTTTTGCTTCTCTCATTTATTTCTCAATATGTTTCCACAGGTTTGGAGAAGAAATGAGGCCTGTAAAGTTGACTACAAGAGTTTTTGGTATAAATATATATCTTTAAGGGCCCGTTTTAGAAATTAACTTCTTAATTTTTGTGATTTCTGCAAGTCTTGAATTACAAACATTTGATGCTTAGAAAATTAAATATTATTTTGTCAGATCCTGCATTGAGGCCTAATTCAGAATTTATGTTGTTAATTGGTTTTATCTGTTCATTTTTGTTTTTTTCCTTCTTGGATTATTTCCTTTTGTTATCACCAATAGCAGGAAGCAAGGTAAGTGGTTTTAGCTCCTCGCAGTTGTTCAGATATCAATCAAGCAAGTAGTTAGAAGCTGTTATAATGAGCATACAAATGTTGATTGCAGGTCGTAGAGTAATGGGAAAATCATTAATGAAATTCTATTGAAAGTTTTACATAGTCATGATAATTCTATCTCCATTCTATTGTCACCTTATTCCTTTGTCTCTACTCTTCCATAGTTCTTCTTTAAGTAGGTTCATGTTATAGGAATCTAGAGATCGGTAGCTGATCTATTCCAGCAAAACTCAAGCTTTGATTGCTGAAACGACAAAGAACAAAGGGGAAGACAGAGATAACTGACCATCAATGTATCTAACTACTGGATGATTTTGTAAAGGTATTCAATCAAAAGCTAAAGGAGTTCAATGGAAGTCTATGGTTCTTTCAATTAACTCAACGAGAAGCATCAGGAGAATAAGTCCTATTTAAACGATGCTTTGACCATCTAGCAGAGACAATAAGAAAAATGTTTCCTACGGTAGCCTCAATATCTAGGTACACCAATCTTGTCCTATTTTTCTTCCCACGAAACCCCAAGAGGCCGGTCATAGCAATAACAACCTTGAATCTTCCAAAAGTATCTTGAGTAACAATGCTACATGGTTGGAGGTTTCGATATTTGATGGAGATAGCTCCATTGCTTGGGTAAGACATGTCTGACGTATTTTCATGTGTATATTCCTAAAGAGCAGAAGGTTGAGCTTTAAACCTTATAATTGGATGACATAGCTGATACTTGGTAGTAAGGTTGTTAGGCTCCACAACTTGAATTGAATTGGACATGTTTGGAAATTTTGATAGGAGGTTGGGAGTTATCAGTAATGAATGTGGTGGGAGAATTTAATAACTTGATTCAGGTGGAGCTTGTATTTAGTTACCAAGAAAGGTTTAAGGAGCTTAGGTTCATGATGTTTCAAATCAACCTTAACTTTTTTGGGCGATACTTTATTTCAAGTTTCATTAGCGTCTCGAATGTTGAACTGAGACCTATCGACAAAATGCTTAAGCTCTCAACCTTAAGTTTAGCTATTGACCAGCCAATGTAGCAGAATATGATCTTAATGCTATAATTAGAAGCAAAAGGTTCACTCAAAAATCCATTTTCTAAGCATTTAAAAGTCCATTAAGTTTCATGTGGATGTTGGCTGCTACAGTGAAAAGTCAATGTTAGAAACTCATTAAGTTTTATGCTTAAGTTTCAAGAACTTTGCCCCAAAATCAGCTTCTTGCAATGAAGAATCAGAATTTATTATCCCATTCTCAAGATTCGAGTTGGATTTAGGGACTTGCACAAATCTTTTTCCTTGAAAACACCTTACCTTTACGCAATCTTACATTTTTGCAGACAGTATCAGGTATTGATTCAAGAGGGTTTTCAGACATTGAAGAGTTTAGGGAAACAAGGAAAGGACTCACGGGAATAGGGTAAAGACTCTTGATTAAAAACAAACAGAGCTGACAATTCAAAGACAAATCCTTATCTTCCTCTATTGAACCCTCCCCTTGAAGATAAGACTCATGAAAGTAGGACTCGTACTCATGAAACATGACATCCCTCGTGACATAGAATCTTTTTTATGGAGGATGACAACTCTTATAATCTTTCTCAGTTGAGGAATTCCTAACAAAAACACATTTCAAATCCCCGAGATCTAATTTTCTCCAAGTAAGATTGTGAACATGGACAATAGAGATAAATTTGAATATCTTAGAGACAAGATGATTTATGTGTGTAGGCGAAGGTAGTATGTGGATAGAAGGTCTATAGGGCTCTTGAATCCCAAAACTTTATAAAGCAATCGGTTTATGAGATGTGTGGTCCATGAGGCTCTTGAATCTCGTTGGTTCCTTTCTTTTTCGAGTCTCCATGCTCTTTAGTATGAGATTTTGAGTCTCGCATGTATACTATTTCACCTTTATGGCATTTTGAAAGTGAATCGTATTCCATAAATATGATATTTATCTTGTATGATGTATAAAATGTATGACAAATGTTAGAATGTCTCAGTATAAATGTCACTAAACTTCCACTTGACACCTATTATAATGACTGACGGTTCATCTCATCATGACCTTCTCTTCAGTTCTCAAAACTTTTGTGAGTCCAACAATGCCCGCAAATTCCAGAGCATCGGACTTGACCCGTTCAATGAGCTTGCAATTCCTTTCTAAAGTGTAATTTGGGTATAGGACTTCACTTGCATGATACCGTAACTTATTAGATTTAAACAGGTTCAAGGTAAAAAAAAAGGGCTTTTGCGGCTATTCCTATTCAAAGCAGATAAAGAGTTTATGACTAGCTCCTTCAATCACATTGAGAGCAAGAACTTTGTTTCTACCCTTGAATTGAGCTGTTGAAAAAGTTAACTCAACTAAATTCTCATTTACCTATCAGGCTAAACAAATCTAGGAGTCTCCTGCATAATCTCAAATGTTTTGGGTTCAGGTACATAGATTAAATGATAAAACACAAGCAAAAGTTCCTATATTCATGCAGATATAGAACAACATATATGATCAATTTAGATAGTTATTTGTGGCTTCATTGACAACTAGATCAACATGTTATTGCTTTAAGAGAAGCCCTCATTGAAGTTCACTTTGAACCTTAGGGTTCGGGGAAAGGATCTCTCTAATATTGGGTAGTTGTCATTAAACCACGTAGAATAAGTTATGAACTGAGAGAAATAGCCCAAGACTTGTAGTGGTTAGTCAGCTCTGTCGCTAAGCTTCACTTGTACCAAAAAATCCCATGTATTAACGAGGAGTAATTTTACTTCCACCTAGTGACTCTAGGCTCGCAGTAATGTGACCTCTTGAGCCTCATGGGTTTTTGCTGCAGAGCTACAATAGGAGAATTGTTTAGGATTCTGCAATCTCCATTGACACTGAGAGAATAGTAACTGCTCTTATTCAAGACAATGATTGAGATGAATCATTATTTTGATTTGTTACTTGTTTTCTTACTCCATTTGGTGGAATGGATTTGCATAATATAACCAACGGGATCACTCGGCTAGATAGCGGGGTTACATCTAGAAAGTCATATATTCTCGAAGAAGTTTGTACAGGTTAGGAGTCGCAAATGGATCTTCCAGTTCACAGATTAAAGATGGCTCTAAAACCGTTGACATCAAGTGCTCGTATCTTTAAAGTTCAAAGAATATGCTAACTAGCACGTAATAGAAATGGGATTTCATGTTGGTGATTGGGTCCTTTTAAAGGTGCAGCTTGATAAAGAAAGCTTACCGGCAGTAAGGAGTCTGAAGTTATTTCCAAATTCTATGATTCTTTTCAATTGGTTCACAGGAGAAATTCGGTGGCCTACAAGCTGCAATTACTTGAGAGTTCTTCATTCATCCAGTATCTAATGTTTTTCTGTTCAAAATATATGTTGAGGAAAGAAGTCATGGTGGCATAATAAACCAGTGGAGCAAGGATTAGTTTGATGGGTCAATCTTAGTCCTAAGGAGTCAACTTGGGTACTTGAGACCATTTCTCAGCTTCAACCTTAACAATGAGGTTTTGGTGAAGGTGAAGGGTATTGTTTGGTCCTACGTGGAGTCCTAATTCAATATTTAAGTTAGTCATTGCTTTCATTAATTCAATTTCTTTTTTTTTTCTTTTCGGTTATTTTCCTTTTGTTACCTTAATCACTAAGTGCCAGCAGGCATATTTCGGTTACTCTCAATTGTATTTCTCTTGTATTTCATGTATCAAGCAAGCAAGTAATTAGAAGCCGTTATGATGAGCATAAGAATGCTAGAGTCTTAGATTGTAGAGGTTTTGCACAAATTATTTAATGAAATTCTATTGAGAGTCTATAAAACTCTCCATCATTCTCTCTCAATTATGTTCCCTCCTCCCAACTCTCCTTCTTCCTTTATTATCTTCTGTAAATCTTCTTTGAAACAGGGTCATGTCACAGGAACCCGACACTTCTATTGGATGGGTTGCAAAATTTTTTCTAATATTACATACTTTTCCATGTTTTGGTACATTTTCACTAAAAGTATCTAAATCTCTTGTACAGGTTATGCAGCAGCGAAAAATGATTTTCTGTTTGAAAAGGTTTGTGAGGATTTGTCTCAACTTTAGACTTTATGCTTTTTAGGTTGCAAAGTTTCATGTGAAATACAAATTGAGAGGAAAGCAAGAAAAAATATTTTGGTTTTTAATTTTTTCTAGTTTTTTTCAGACATTACAAGGTCTCCTACTTATAGCATGAGGACATTTTGTATGAAAGAAAACTAATTACACCATGGATTTTATAAATCTTTCTAGTCAATTATTCTCTATTAATTACAAATCTTAATTACAAATCTTTCTAGTCAGTTATTGCCTACTAATTACATAGATATTATTAGAGAGTAAATTGAAAAATAAATATCAAGAATCTAGACAAAATATTTCAATACTCCCCCTCAAGTTGGCATAAAATGGTCTTCAATTGCCAACTTGGAGACTAAACTGTCAGACTGTTTCTTGTAAGCACTTTAGTCAGAATATCTGCCACTTGGTTGATATATAGAACATAAGGTATATAAATGATTCCATTATCAATCTTCCCTTTGATGAAGTACTTGTCAAGCTCCACATGTTTTATTATGTATGGAGAACAAGATTGTGTGCAATAGCAATTGCCAATTTGTTATCATAGTACACCTTATTTGGTAGTGGTGTTGAGGTTTTTAATTCTTCAGAGTTTCTTTAACCATGAAACTACATAAATTTCAAGAGCAACAAATGTATATTCAACCTTGACACTGCTTTTGGCCACCATATTTTGTTTTTTACTCCTCTATGTCACCAACTTTCCTCCCACAAAGGTGCAATATTCTAATATTTATATTCTTTTTTAGACACTTCCACTCAAGTCCACTTCTATATAAGCCTCTATCTATAGGTGAGTGTGATTCCTAAAAAATAATTCTTTACTAGGAGTTCCCTTTAAGTATCTAAGGATTCTATAAATTGCCTCAAAATGCTTTTAGCTTGAAGAGTGCATAAATTGACTTACTACACTTACCGCAAAGGTAATATCTGACCAAGTATATGATAGGTAAATTAGTCTAGCTACAAGTCTTTGATATTGTTCTTTATTCACCACATACTTTGTTTCAACAGCTTGCAGCTTCTGTTGGATTCAATAGGAACCTCGGCTGCCTTGCATCCAAGCATACCGGTTTCAATGAGTAGGTCAAAAACATATTTGCATTCATTTACAAAGATTTTTTAGATGTGACAAACTCCACACTAAATACTTCAAATTTTCTAAATCTTTAATCTCAAAGCCCTAGCTAGCTTCTTCCTTAAGGTTTCAATTTCTTCATAATCATTTCCAATGAGAATTAGATCATCAACATAAATAATAAGCATAACCAACTTACTTGATCTTGAATGTTCATCGAACATGGTATGGTCAGCTTGACTTTGAGAATATCCATATCTTTTTACTATCTTATTGAATCTTTCAAACCAGGCTAAAAGGATTTTCTAATCTATAGGTTTTTCATCTCCCAAGTGTTTTTCAAATCCAGGTGGAGGATCCATAAATACCTCCTCTTCAAGGCTGCCATTTAAAAAGAAATTTTTTACATTAAGCTGATGTAAAGACCAGTTTCTTCCTACTGCTACAGATAAAAGAACTTGAATAGAGTTGATCTTGGCCACCGAAACAAATGTTTCTTGGTACTATCCAAAGGTATAATGAACCCTTTTGCTACAAGACTTGTTTTGTATCTTTCATACTCATTAGCCTTGTATTTTATAGTGAAGAACCACTTACACCCAACAGTTGTCTTATCTCTTAGAAAATCAACAATTTCCCGAGTTCCACTTTTCTTGAGCGCATTCGTCTCCTTGATTGCAAACTTCCAACCTGGGTTACTTAGTACTTCCTAAATTATTGTAGGCATAGAGACAACAGAAATATTTGATAGAAATACTTTATGTTTTTTCAGAAATTGTTTGGTAAGATAAGTACTTTGCAATAGGCTATTCTGTACAAAATCAAACTCCTTTTCTAGTGGCTATAGGAAGATTTAAATCAATAAAATTTAAACTTTGTGAAAGAATAGGATCAAGTTTGGGTTTTACCTGTGTTTCTTGGACACCAATGTTCTAGATCTGGGATCAGTTTGCATAAGAGACAGTTGGAACAATAGTATTTTTATGAATTTTCCTTCTAGTGTAAACCAGAGTCATAGAATTTCTTTGCAATATTTCTTCTCCTGGATTGCAGTCCACAATGTTTGGCATCTACCTAAGACTTTCCTCATTTTCACTGCTTTGAATAGTAATATTTTGCTTCTCAGAGGACAAAATCTGTAACGACCCCGGAAATTAAAAAGGAAATGTATATAAAAAATATAAGTGCGGAAGCGAAATAAAATATTCTGGTTAATATCTCTTACACAATAACTTAAACGTACTAACAATACCGAAAATAAATCTTCTAAAGGAAAATATTGGAAATGAAAGACTATAAAAGAAACTAATAAATATTTAGGCATCTACTGGCCGTCTTCCTGCGGAACGGGCTCGGGAACCAAGTCCTCCTGATCTGAAATGGTTAAGTAAGAAATGAACTACACTAACCCAGTAAAGACGTCACACTATCTCACTGTCACAGAAGTAAAGGTTGGTAAAAAACAAAAACGACCAATGGAGCATAATTTATAACAAATTCATTTATCAATGATAAAACCCTTTACTGTTCACTTACCTCGATGAGATTTATGAAAACAATTTATGAAAACAATAATATTATAATATTATGAAATCATACGCACTCTGTAACATAACACATGTTATACTTTTAATATTTCAATCATCAGGCAACAAATTTCCTCTTTTATCAGCCTACCAGTATCTATGGGAATCCATAGGGGTCCCCGCTACACGTGAACCATTCACCTTAATAACTTAATTACAGGGCCGTCCCCATACCCCGTCCGGTATGGGCGCCAAAACCATAAATCTCAATACCTCATCCAGTATGAGGGTGAAGCGGTCCGTCCTCATACCCCGTCCGATATGAGCGTCAAAACATTTAAAGTCTCCATACCCTGTCCGGTATGAGAGACAATGTCCCCGGTAGGGTTCTCTATGGACTCGGTCTGTCCACCATCTCTTATGATATCTAGTGAGTCTGTCGACTTATTCATTTATCAACTCACATACCTTTTCTATTTTTCCTTAGTTTTCTGTTTCTCACATAATCATGAATATTTAAACCAGTAACGAGCATCCAATAAGGCAGACATATCATCGGATTCACAAAATTAAGCCATAATGAAGTAAACAGTGATTCATGCATTCAAAACTATAAAATAAATAGATCAGATACCATAATGCATTTAAAACTGTAAAACAATTAAAACAGCAACTGACCGAAAATATATCAGATTCGGGCTCCATTAGCAACCTTATATCAATTATACATATCTAATAATTCATAAAATAGCATTTTATCATTTATTAAGCTTTAATGCCGTGATAAGAAATAGGGTGAGAGATCCTTACTTGATTCGAAGTGTAAGACCGATTTTTCACTGTGCCTACGGGCGGTCCCTAGATTCCCTAAATTTTTTTCCGGGAACTGAAACACACTTCCGGTACCTGCACATGTCCCCAAAAAACTCCAAATCAGACCCGAGGCTTACTCGGCTAATTTCAGAAATTCCGGCACGGCAGCTCTGCCATGCTCCGGCGACGGCGCCGCCGCCTGCGGCGGTGATCCGCATCGGGTTGGTTGTTTTCGACTGTTTCCATCCGAATTCAGCCAAACTAGCACCAGTTCCTGCGAGAAAACACACGTAAGGCCCTTGGTGGGCCGAAAAAACTCAAAAAACCGAGACTTACTGGTGGCGGAGCTCTTGGGTGCGGCGGCTCCTCCGGCGCGAGTCGCGATTTGGTGTTTTGCTCCGGTGAACCTGTAGAGGAAAGGACATTGGTCACAGTGGTGTAAAAATTACATCGAACAGGAATCGGGAAGAGCCTTATCGGAGGCAAAAACTGAGGAAACCCGCGGCGGAGCTGCTGGGCTTCGGCGGCGTTTTTCGGACAATTGGCCGGTGGTTTGGTTCCGATTTGGCCACAGGCGGGTTTAGCATCGAAATCCAAGCTAAAGAAAAAAAATTTACCTCGTTTGGCGGCAGGAAAGTGCTCCAGTGCAGCGGCGGGTGCCGGCGGTTGGTTCCTCTGGTGGCTGGGCTGTCTTCTCCGACGAGGGCTCTGACGGCTAAGGTTTGGGGTTGGGTGTGGATGAGATTATTTATAACTTTCCCTTTTTAATCTGAGCCGTCCATCACGATTTGATATGGGCTGTCCGATCGCGATTAAATTAGAAATAAATCTGGGTCATCCATCGCGATGCGATCTGAGCCGTCCGTGCGTGATTCAATCTGGGTTGTCCGTACGTGCGGGCAATCTGAGTCGTCCGTGCGCGCGGGAACGGATCTCAGCCGTCTGATCGCGCGCACGCGGATTGCCCACGTGGCTCCATTTCACGTGGCCTCCCGCGTTAGCGTCTCTGCCACGCGGCGTGTTCTAGTTGGCCAGGGCTATTGATCGGGCTGCTGACGTTGCGCAATTTTTTCTAAATTGCTTTTTGACCATCGGTTTCCGATTTTCTTTTCAAAAACACCCCCATAATCTGAATTTTCACCCATTTTTCTCAAAATTGTTTTCAATTAAACTCCAAAAATAATTTTACTCATTTTTATCATTATTATTATTTTTGTTTCTATTTAATTAAATTAAACTAAATTAAAACCATATATTATTACTTAAATAATCATTTATTTCATTTAAAATTTACAAAAATTTAAAATAAAACAAAAAATAATATTCATAAAAATAATAATAAAATTTTGGGGTGTTACAAAATCACTTCAGGTAGTGATTCATAAATTTGTCAGAAACCATCTTTACTTATTATATTCTCTCCTTGAAGATGATTTATGCTAGAATTAGGTATTTTATTTCATGAATATTATATCTATACTTATACGAGTTTTTTTGTAATAGGATTAAATATTTATATACCTTTCTAGTACGAGTATAATCAACAAAAACATCTTTTTCAAATTTATGGTCGAACTTTAATTGAAACTGTTGAATGCCATATTTTATTATTTAATTAGTTAATTATTTAATTATTTATTATTATGTAATTAGGATTTTATGAGAATAATAATATCATATTATTAGAATAAGAATTTCTTTATTAGTAGATTAGGAATTCTATAAATACCCTAAGTGTAACAATTTAAAAAGTGAGAAATAAAATTGTTATTTTTCTCCAAAAATTTACATAGTATCAAAGCCAAATAAGAGTATTTTAGAGTTTTAATTTCAAAATTCTTTCCAAACTCTAAAATAGCACAATATGATGGGTTGGTATTTTTTTATTCAGATCTACTCTTATCACCACCCAAAACGGATTTAAACCTGCCGATGTGTTCTGTGGTGTTCACGGTGATTTTTAGTGGCGGTAAAAAGTGCAGTTGCACTCCGCAGGCACCGGTAAAAAGCTGCAGCTGCACATTCGTAGGTGTCAGTAAAAAAGTGCAACCGCACATTTGCAAGCGTTGGTAAAAAGGTGCTCGGAGGCGCCGGTAAAAAGCTACAGACGCACATCTACAAATGCCGGTTAAAAAGGCCATGTCATTCCGTTTTTCTGCGCACGTTCAGAAATCTGTGCAGAGAAGACGAGCCAAGGTGACTTCGAGCTATTTTTTTAGCCGACTTTGAGCTATTTTAAAGTCGAGTCTGAGCTGTTTTAGAGCTGAACCCGAGCATTTTAGAGCTGAGCCTAGCTATTTTGAGCTATTTCGTGCTGTATTGAGCCGGGTCGAGCCGTTTTGAGTCAAGCTGAGCTATTTTGAGCCAAGTCAAATCGTTTGAGCCGAGCCGAGCCGAGCGGGCGTACACCTCTGGTAGATTACATGATGACTCTTCAGAACTTGATTTGTGAATTGAGCATGTGCGATATCCCTGCACCAACTTGAGGGAGGGTGTTAAATGTCATATTTTATTATTTAATTATTTAATAATTTAATTATTTATTATTATGTAATTAGAATTTTATGGGAATAATAATCTCATATTATTAAAATTCTAGTAAAATAAGAATTTTCTTATTAATAACTTAGAAATTTTATAAATACTTTAAGTGTAACAAGCTAAATAGTGAAAAATAAAATTATTTTTTCTCTAAAATCAATAGAAACATATGTCCAGAATGAACAAAATAAGTACATCTAAAAACCATTAAAGCGATATCTGAACATGTTCTAAGAAATTGGAAAACTCGCTTTTAGCTTCTCTAGAGGAGTGGTAAACTTCAAAACTCCAATGGGCATCCGATTTATCAAATACGATGTCATTAAGATTGCATCTCTCCATAAATATTCGGAACATTCATTGCAAACAAAATACCCTAGCAATTTTAAGAAGTTGTCTATTTTTTCTTTTAGTAATTTCATTTTATTAGGAAGAGTCACAACATGAGAATGATGAACAAGACCCTTAATTTTTTAAAAATCCCCTACACGTTTATTAAAAATACTCGATTCGATTGTATGATCTAAAGGTGTAAATATTTATTTTAAACTGTGTTTCGATCATATTATAGAAGTCTTAGAAAAGTGTTTCAAATTCATTTTTTTTTCTTATAAGATAAACCTAATATAGTCTAGCATGATCATCAATAAATGTTAATGAATCTCTTTTTCCAAATAAAGTTAAGAATTCAGAAGGTTTCCAAATATCAGTATGAATTAGATAAAATAATTTTGAGGGACAATAGAGTTTTGGCCCAAATTGTACTTGGTGGTCTTTTGATAAATGACAAATTTCACATTGAAGTGATGAAAATCCAAACCTTTAAATGTAGATAAAAATAAATGTCTCAAATAAGAAAAACTAGGATGTCCTAGTCTAAGATACCATTATATTATTTGTTCTAAACTAGAATTCGAACTCATATTGCTTAAAGCTTAAGCCTTTCTACTCTTGGAAGGAACCTCATCAAAACAATATAGTTTGTCTATCTCTCTAACTCTATCGATTATCGTCCCCGAATGCTAGTCCTAAAAAATACAATAAAACTTATAAAAAATAACACAAGAGTTAGAATCTTTAGAGAGTTTTCTAATATACAAGAGGTTATAAGCAAGTTTTGGAATGCGGAGAACATATTTAAGATCTATATCTCTGGAAATTTTACAAGTCTTTTCCTACGATGGAAGAGAAACTTCCATCAGCAATTCAGACTTTTTCATGGCTAGAACAAGGTGTAAAAGGATGAAATGAATGAGATAGGTTAGTCATATGATCAGAAGCTCCTGAATTAATGATATAAGGAGAAGAATTTTTACCTGAATGACCAATAAAATAATAGCTGAGTGCTACTTTTTTTGTTCTTTGGCTTCCAATTAGCAGGTTTTCCATAAACCAGTAAGTATCTCTTGTGTAGCATAGTTCATTGCAATGGTCCCACCATATCCGTGGTCTTTCTTCGTTCCTTTGCAGATTTAGACCATTTTGCCTACTCGCATGTGCCTTTGTAATAACAAATGCCGAACTTTCTATTGTGCTATTTGATTCATTTTTCTTTCCAAGCACAACATATTTTTAACTATCCTCTCGACAAACCTTGGAGAAAATTTCATTAATGGAGGGCAGGGGATTCCTCCCTATGATTCTTTCTTGAACTTCATCGTATTCAACATTGAGAATCGCAAGAAGTTTGAAGACTCGGTTTGCATTGACAATTATTCGGTACCGAATAGCATCACCAAGGTGCTTCTACTTGTGATCACAAAGAAAGTCCAAATCCTGCTAAACACGCTTTAAAGAATTGAAATATTTTGTGACAGATTCATTACCTCGATGAATATCACCAAGCTTCAATGTGAGTTCATACATTTGGAATTGGTTATCCAAATCAGAGTATATTTGTGTCACATTATCCTAAAGTTTTTTAGCAGAAGTATAGCACATATGCTTAGGGCTAATATGCTCCTCCATAGAATTCATAATCCATGTCATAACTACGGAATTTTCTGCATCCAAGTGCTGTGTGATGCATCCAGGTGGCTGGCTCCTGAGTAATACCGGTAAAGTAACTAATTTTTCCTCTTCCTCTAATGTACGTCTGGACTGACTGACCAGCTTAGAAAATTATCACCATTGATACAAATGGTGGTAATTTGGGTTGGGTGGGTTTCAGAACTAGAGGATTATCGATTTCGTTGATATTGGGTGGAGGTAAGGAGTGAGCAATCAAACTTTCTGATGTAATGGAGGTCTATTAAGGATGTGATGGCTACACGAACAGCTGTCCGGGGTCTAGTAAAAAAATTTCATGCGCTGGTACCATGTAGATTGACAGAAAAACAGAAAAAAAAATTCTGGCTTTAATTTTCTCTGATTTTTTTCACACATTACAAAATCTCCTACTTATAGCATGAGGAGATCTTAAATAAAAGGAAATTAATTATACCAAGGATCCTACAAATCTTCCTATTTAATTATTCCCAATTGATTACATGTTTTCCTAATTATTACAGCCTTTCTAGTTAATTATTACCAATTAATTATAGAAACATTATTAAAGACTAAATTGGAAAATAAATATAAAGAATCTAGACGAAATATGTCAATACAAACATCATTGAATCATTCTCATTTTTTTGATGATTTCTCTTTGTTTTGTCATGCAGCGCCTGCAAAATTATATTTTTGGTAAGCATTTAGAAAATGATTCTTTAGTTGTTTTCCTTTTTCCTTTCATTCTCATTTTTTGATAACTCAAAAGTAATTATAAAAATTGATTTGCAGACATTTTGATGCAATACTCAAGAGGGCAATCTGCTCTGGTTTTTTGCTCGACAAGAAAAGGAGCACAAGAAGCAGCGCAGCGGCTTTCTCAGGTGGCAATGACTTATGGTCAATCAAACCCATTTATTAAAAGCAAAGAACAGCTGGAAAGGCTAAGGGAAGCTTCACTATCATTCAGTGATAAACAAATGCAATCTTATGTTCTTTATGGAGGTATAATGCTTCCTTTCCTTCATACTTCATTATCTTAAGCTTACTGCAACATCTTTCCTCGTATTATGGCATTTTGCTGCCCTTTTGTAAATTTCATGCTTGCAGTCGGTTATCACAATGGAGGGCTTTGCTTAAAGGATCGTAACCTCATTGAGGGTCTTTTTCTTAATGGAGATGTCCAAATTCTTTGCACCACAAACACTCTTGCTCATGGAATCAACCTGCCAGCTCATACAGTAGTAATAAAGTCCACACAACACTTGTACGTCAGTTGTCAAACTATTTTTTGATGTACTCAGCAACTAGATAATCTTTCATATTGTAAGTTTTATTCTAGATTTCATCATTGTTTAATTTACAAGAACTACTATTCTGTTCAGCAATAAGGAGAAAGCTATCTACATGGAATATGACCGGTCCACAATACTACAGGCATCTCTCTTGCTCTGGTAGCTAATAGTAGTCATGTTAATACTCCTCAAATGCTTGTCAATCACAAGAGCTGTCGTGTTTTTGTACTTTCATTAATTATTCTTTCTACATTGATTCTTGAAAGGAGCTATGTGGTAATCATAAATCTCTGATTGGCTCTTAATCAACTGCTGCATTAGCAGGCAATTTCTTTTAGTCACTGTTTTGTGATCCACGTGATTCTAAACTATTTGCAAATGGTGTCACACTGTCAACCAATTAATATATGGTTGAACTAATTTTCGTCAGTAGTGACCGACGATTCTTTCCGTGGCTGTTTAGGTTCCTGTATTCACATAAATTTCATTTGAGTTTCTGTGTCATATGGAGGATAGATGAAATATTACTTCTGCAACTGGATTTCTTTTGGATGTTAAGTTTGTATTGTTACTAATAATCTAAATACAAATGATGTGTAAATAAATGCTTGCACCCTACTGTTGGCCCCAAAAGAAAAATAAAAAGAATAATTAAAGATGAAAGTACTTATTGTGACAGCAAGCATGCATGTACCCATGTGTATGTTTTTCATCTGCGTTCTTCTCCAGATACCAATCCTTTCAGGGGACCCTGAGGTTAAGTTGACACACAACTAACTGATTAATAAACTTTTCCTCAGATGTGTGGTAGGGCAGGTCGACCACCATTTGATGATACAGGAACAGTTATAATCATGACTAGGAGAGGAACGGTAAATTTAGTTTCTTTCTTCGCCCGCTTCTTTTGTTTGCATACTTTTTTCCTTAGAATTAAGGTATCCTGTTTATTCTGTATATATTTCTCTGTCATGATCTGACATATGATCTCAGGTGCATCTGTATGAGAATCTCTTGAACGGTTGTGAAATGGTTGAATCACAGTATGTGTAAGCCTGTAAATTCCTTTGTTTGAAATATTCAATTTGTCTGCATGTTTGTGAAAGTAATCTTGTTTCTTTAGATTGCTTTCATGTGTGGCAGAGCACTTAACAGCAGAAATAGTTCAACTGACAATCTCTGATATAGCACGAGCGATTGAGTGGATGAAATGCTCTTACTTATATGTAAGAATGAAAAAGGTATGTTATTATGGGATCTTACTGGAGGGATTATCTTATAAATAAATTTGTGGTTTTAAATTATATACGGGACTTTCAATGCATAATCAGAACCCTGAGAAATATGCTGTTAAGAAAGGGATCACAAACGATCAAATAGAGAAGCATATGCAAGGTATCTACCTGTTAAATTATGAAATTGATTTTCTCCCTCCAGTGCTTATTGATCTCATGTCATGCTAGGAATATGTGTTGAGAAAATTAATCAACTCTTACACCATCAAATGATATGGACTGATGAAGATAGTTTCCTCTTGAAGCCACAAGGTACTTTAAATTCCAACAAAGCCATAGCTTACAGCTTGTGTCAAGAACAAATTCTCGGATCACTTTTTTCTTTTTTCTGGTTTTCAGAGCCTGGAAGGCTGATGACAAAGTATTATCTGAAATTTGATACCATGAAGCACATTATGAAGGCCCCTGAAAAGTGCAGTTTAGAAGATGCACTTCGTATTATATGCCATGCTGAGGAGATTAATTGTATGCAGATTCATATGATTGCTATGTGTTCTATCAGTACAACTCTATGTGGAATGATTAATGGATGTTTGCTGGAAAAATGAAGGGATACAGCTCAGACGCAATGAGAAGAAGATTCTGAATGACTTGAACACTGACAAAAATGGCCGGCTTAGATTTCATATCAATGATGATAAGGGGAAAAGGAAAAAGCGAATCCAAACTAGGGAAGAGAAAATATTTGTTCTGACAAATGACTGCTTGACTGGGGATCCTTCAATACATGATTTGTCAATGACCCAGGTTCCACTGCTTAAATATTTCTTTCAGCAACCATTGTCTAAATATTTTAATATATTTTCCAATTATCTATACCAGAAATGAAAAATGAAAATATTGGAATTCTGAACTCCTGTTTTTGGTGCAAGGATGCAAATTCAATATGCTCAAATGGATGCAGAATTGCCAAGTGTATGAAGGAATATTTTATATATAAAAGAAGTTACAGAGGAGCAGTGAACTCAACCCTTCTAGCGAAGTCATTGCATCAAAAGCTCTGGGATGACAGTCCTTATTTGCTGAAGCAGTTACCTGGAATCGGAATGGTTACTGCTAAGGTTTTCTGTCTTAGCTCTTTATTGCCATCCGAAGATTTCAAGTACCTAAAAATTATGGATGGAAACATCTTTCTCCATGTTCTAGGCCTTATTAAAAGGCTTTCTGCAGGCGCTACATTCAATGGGAGTCCAATCATTTGATGCACTAGCTGAAGCTGATCCAAGGAGGATAGAAATTGTAACTGGAAGAAAATACCCATTTGGGAATCATATAAAGGAGTCTCTACTGTCACTACCTCCAAAAGTTAACATGAAGGTTGAGGAAGATGAATGCCCCAGACGAGGGATGTCCAAATTAGTAATAACATTGACAAGGCTATCACAGCCAATCCAATCAACTAGACGACACTATGCTGATATGGTAGGTGGATTGGATTTTTTGGTGTTCTCTCTATAACATTATTTTGTTAAAACAATATTATTGCTCTCTGCTTCTTTTCTCAAGGATCCAGTATGTCCAAGAACAATTTAATGTATGAATGTATTACCAACTATTATTTCTTGCAGATTGTTGGGTCAGAGGAAGATAACGTGATCCACTTTCATGAGAAAATAAGGTGCTGTTAATTTGCTCGTTCTTCTTCACTACTTGAATGTGAATTAGTATAAACCGAGAATAATACAATGATTATCTGCCAACATATTAACAATGCTGATTTACTATTGTGCTTAATTGTATGTTTTATCTGTCACTCCAATCTTTTGGCACACTGATTGACTCCATCTGAATTGGTTGCTACAGAGTGGATGAATTCTCCAGGTACACTAACTTTTGCTTGGCTTCTCTTATCTGTATAGAAACTTAAATAGCATTTTGAAGCACCGTGTTATGACCAGTCAATAATACAATTCTCCTCGTGTGCAGATCTCTGACCTGGTTAATTGAATTATTTCTGAAGCCGAAAAAAAAAGATTATAATGCTCTTAATTGAATGTGCATGATCACTACCCTGTAATAAGAAAATCTCTATTGTGAATTGGTTGAAAACTGAAGTACAATATTTAGATGCATATTTACTCTTAGATTGGTAAAAATAAGTTCAAACATTAATTATAAAATTAGTTAAGCGAATTAATATTAAATTCAGAATTCTTTTCTCTGAAAAAGAAATTGAAGGTATCATCTTTAAGATATCATAGCTGAACCTTGTGACAAAAATTCATGATCATTGTTAAAATGGCTGGAAGGGCGTTTTTAGATAAAAGAAGCAAGTTAGAGTGCAGTTCTTTGACCCAGTTATTTTTTTATTCCTTGGCGAATGTTCATGTCTCTATCCAGTTAAATATGATAAGGGTTGAGTTGGTTGGTTCCTTTTGTAGTCCCTATAGCACGACCATTCTTCTGCCCAACCTTCAACAAGGGAAACCAACTGTGAAGGCTGATATTATCTTTGAAGAACACAGTTGAGTGTTTGTTACAATATATCCAGCTTATCACCTCTTATGTATATGTACATACGCACATAGACACATACATACGCCCACATATAATGATTTTTCATTTCTGGAGTCATTAGATTCATTTCTTGTTTGTTGTTTTACGTAGTTGGTTTTGATGTCCACGAAGAACTACTTCTGATAAAGGAGATCAAATCACACATGAATCCCAAATGTACAAATAAGCGGCCTCGCTTTTATCCTCCTCCAGAGGAAGTATGCGCTATAGAAGCTGACAACGACACTAGGTCTCAAACTTCAGCCATTGAACTTCAGAATTTGGTTAAATTTAAAAGGCCAAACACCTCAATGTGAGTGCTCAATTTTTTTGTTTTTGTTTGTTGGCTGCATAATGCAAGAAGTCCTAACAGTCTATCCTTTATACAATCAACTCTTACTACAATTAATTAATCATTTTATCTTTTCTACTCCAGGCCCAGTTTCATCCTTCTTGATGAAGAGTTAGGAGAAGGTACTGCATATGAGAATTTAAAATTATATGATTTCCTATATTATAACGTATCTTGATTGCTCAAGATTAGATTGTAGCATGTAGATCTTTTCATATATTTTCTCTCAGCTGTTGAAGCTGAAAATAGGGTTTTTGGGGTGCAGTAGTGTAGCTCCTGCAGTACGATGCAATCTAGTTTAGAATTTTTCCACAGCCAGCTACATATGCAATTTTTACCTAGGGCCAACATCTTTGCCACTCCATAAAATTTTAGTATAATGGGTTTTACGTTTGAAATACAGAAAAATTTATTGTAATTTACAAATCTCTTTGTAGTAAATTCAGACTCATGCCTCTTGTAGATTATGACAATCACTTGAACCACATAAATGGGTGATTTGTTTTACTTGTTTGATTTATCACATCGCCTAGGACCCTATTATCTTTTTTTGCGTTTTACTCACTTCTACCATAAATTACTAAAGGTGAGTCAGCAACTGAGAATGAAAAAGATGGCAGCAAAATTATCACTGAACAAACAATCTTTGATCACATTCGTGAGAAGGCCAAGAACTTCTCTTTGTTGAGCATACCAAGTGCTACATGTTCTCCGCCACCAAAAGCGTTGATTCCCACAAGGAAACGCCCCTGTGGGAGTGATAGTGAACTCGATGCTCTACCAGAAATAGAGAAAGGTAAAATTCCACAAGAATCTGTGCTTCCTTCATATTCAGAACCCAGAGAGGCCACACATGGACTCCGGGTCAACTACAATCTGACTTTATACCAACAATCAACTGCTGGTATCTTGAGTCCCATGAACCGCATGGACGAAAGAGGTGTGCTTTTGAACCATATTCAGTACTTAATTAGGTGAATAATTAAATTATATGTAGGTAGCAAAGTTAGTTCTTTGATTTCAGTTATACTTTTGTTAAAGATAATTGATCAACTAATCAATTCAAACTCAGATCATTTATGTTTGACTGGCTTCTACTTGGATTTATTCAATAGGCTATTGTTCGGCAGAAACCTACAATTTTTTAAATTAGTTTGAGAATTTATACCTAATTTAACCAGCTGAGAGCAGAAATTGTGTAAAATGTTAAGATTTCAGTTCTTGAATTATATTACAAATTCTATCAAAATTGATGAAATTTAGAATGTACTGCTCTAATAATTTATTCCAATTGAAGTTTTTGTAAATAAAAATGGTATCCCTCTTAATTAAATTGATTGGAAATTCCAAATGAAGTCTGAAAAGTTTGAATTTATTCCAAATATAGCTTTATTTTTTCTTCCAACCTTAGTCTTACCAAATTTTTTATCCTCCACACGACCTATAATTAGTCACATAACAAATTGTTACCACGTTATCTGTGTCTAGTTTTGAGTTCCTAATTAATATCACTATTACGTATTAAAGGTGAAGTTCCATTTGAACCTGGAGAGAACATGCTGAAGACTTTCTCAGAAGAAGCAGTATTTGATCATATTCAGAAGAAATCCAAAAATTTTCCAGTATTCAATGCATCAAAGCCTTTTGATTCTGAATCCTTGGTTCATTCCTCAAAAGATCAGTCTGAATCTCGAATTGTTTCTGTTGATGTATCTGAAGGGACAAATTTTAAGCTCCTGAGAGATTCTTTCATACCTGATCTGAAACCTGAAGGGATGGACAGAGATTTGAATTCTATCAAGGCAGAAACGGGTGTCAAAACTAATGCCTACCTTGAAGGACATCAAAGATCAAATCTTCCTTGTAAAACTTCAAACACTAAAAGTGATCCATCAGCTATCAAAATGCTATCACTTGATATATTGAAGGTGGAGAAAAACATGCAGCTATCAGAGCCAGGAAGCTCCATGGAAGATGGCCCGAAGCAGTTGTCTCCCAGGGGAGAAAACAGACAGCAGTGCTTATCACTGGCAGGTAAGCTCAACGAAGAAAATTCATTTCTTGGGTTTAAGAGTGTGTTTTCATTTCTCTGATTATAGTATGACAGTATTGATGCAGTAAATTCCTGTTCTAGATGTTTTTCTTTTCTGTGGCCCAGTTTATTGAGTATATAAATTCTCTGCCAGCCAGTGAATAATTTAGCATCATTCTGGAATTCCCCATCATCAGTCCAGTGTTGCTGCGGATTAGACTGCTTCAAAATATACTAGATTTAGACCTTTCCAAGCGTCAAATGCACCTCACTTCATCATGAACATGGTGAAAATATATGCAAGGTCTCTAACAAATCATCATTTCAGACCTTAAGAGCTTTAAGATCCTGTAAATCTCAGCTGACTGAGGGTTTGTTCCATCTTCCGAACAAAATGAATGAACTTGATTTCTCACCTCAATCCAACTAAAGCCCCGACTTTTCTTCAATCCCTTTTCCTTCATTAATTTCCTAATCTTTGAGACGTCCATCCATCTCCCTGCTGAAGCATATATATTCGACAACAAAACATATCCTGCTGAGTTTTTTTCTGCTTGTTTGCAGAGTTTCCTTGCTGTCCTTTCAGCTATCTCTTCATTTCTATATAACTTGCAACCACTTAATAGTGCCGCCCATGCATTAGTTTCAGGTTGAAATGGCATAGAGTTGATAAAGTCTTCGGCTTCAGTCAAGCGTCCTGATCGAGATAACATATCCACCAAGCAGGTATAATGTCTTCCCTTCGGCTTTACACGGTAAACTGTCTCCATTGCATTAAAATACTGGCATCCTTTATCAACTAACCCGGCATGAGAACAAGCAAACAGAACGGACAAGAGCATGAGATCATTAGGAATTATCAATGAAGTTCTTTCCATTTCTTTGAATAGTGAAAGAGATTCCTTGGCAAAACCACTTTCTGCAAGCCCTTGAATCAACACAGTCCACGAGATTTCATCCTTCTCAGGCATTTTATCAAATACCTTCTTGGAGCTCTCAATATCCCCAGATTTTGCATACATATCCACAAGTGCAGTACCGACAAAAACATCGTATTGAATCCCGAGTTTCACTACTTTTCCATGGAGGTCCTTGCCCTTCTCTAATGAAGCTATGCTTGCACATGTTCGGAGCATGCTTGAGAATGCCGATTTATTTGGAGTCTCCCCAGTCACAAGCATCTCATTGAATAACTCAAACACCTTAATGAACTCTTCACATTCCAAATAACCAGCAATAATAGCACTCCATGAGACACTGTTTCTTATAGGCATGTTCTCAAACAATTTCTTCGCTTCTTCCATTTGACCATTAAGACTATATCCATTCACCATAGAATTCCACGAAACGACATTATTCTCCAAAATTGAGTCAAATACCAAACGTCCTTCTTTAGTTTTCTTACACTTACAATACAAGTCAAGCAAAGAGCTACTGACAAATACGTCTCCCTCAATCCCTAGTTTTATACCATATCCATGGATGGCAGTCCCAGCTTTCAGTGCCTCGAGGCTAGCCAATGTGCTAAGAACGCAAGAAAAGCAAGAAATATTTGGCTTAGGCCCGTCTTTGACCATTTGAAGAAAGAGTTCCCATGCTTCATCATGATACCCGTTTTGAGCATACCTCGCAATCATTGCACTCCAAGAAATTTCATTTCTCTCTGGCATCTCATCAAAGATTCTACGTGCTTCCTGCAAGTTCCCCATCCCCACAGACACATCTAGTATTGCCGTCCAAGAAACAACATCTTTCTTTTCCATCCGATCAAACACTCTCCTAGCTAGATCAGTTTCACCCATCCTCAAACATAATGTGATCAAAGAATTAGAAACTGATATGTCCTGCTCAAATCCAGCTTTAATAATCAATCCCAAGACGGCCACTCCCAACCCAAAGTCACCCACTGCACCGCAGGCTCTAATCACAGAGGTGAACGTCACTGTGTTTGGCTTTATACCAGATTCAAGTAGCCATAAGAAAAGCTCCAAAGCATGGGAACAAAAGCCGTTTTTGACAAGCCCAGTAATTGTAGCTGTCACAGACACCAAATTCTGAAATGGGTTCCTGTAAAAATACGTCATTGATTCCTCCACTCTTCCATGTTTCATCAGACCCGAAATCATAGTAGTCCAGGATACGTCATTTCTTTCAGGCATTTCATCAAACAGTTTCTGAGCTTCATCGAGATTTCCCCATTGAATGCTAGCATTAATCATACAGTTATGAGCAACGAGATCAAACCTCCCAAACTCCTTCGCAATCTGATCAGCTTCAATGGATTTTCTGCTGTTCAAGTACATTATCAAGAGTTTAATGGCTATGAATCTCTCTGATGAAACCCCTGTTTTGAGTAAATGGCCATGGAGGATTGTGCCTTCCCTGAGCAGGTTTTCGTTAGATAGATCTCTGAGGAGAGAAACAGATGTTTCTACGTAAGAATTGAAAGTCTTTCTTGGGTTTAATGCAAGAAGAGTTTTCAAGCCAGTCCTCATGTTGGAATGGGTAGTTAAGGTCGTTGACGACAAATAGAGAAACGAAACTAACGAGAAATACGATATGTTGTGCCATGTTTGGCGCTACCTTACTACCTGCACAGACTTCATGAAGAGAACTTTAAATTTAAGGTTCATATCAGCACTAAAAAAATTTTCAAGTTTTAATCCAAACACAATAGATAATATAATTCTTGGGATAGGTGGGTTTCTTCAGTAACTTGGATTTATAGTACTTTCATTGCATGGATGCTAAACTGAGTGCAGTTAAGAAGGAAAATTACTATCTATTCCGAAAATACAAAGGATTTAAAATTACTTTATAATTGATTGACTCTACCCCTAAAATTTATCCTAAATGTTTTATTGGAAAACTTCAGCTTAACTGTAAACAAATAATTGACAAAATCACAAATGTACACATGAAGTCACACTTCACAGCCAATATGCTGTACCGTATTGCGACGTGTCTCTGGACATTTCAATTTCAAGAGAACAAATAAAAAAGAAATTAGTGTCCCATATTTTGCTCGTGCACCCATTATTGGCCACAACTTAAGCCCACCAAAGATGACCATATATTACAAGGTATCCCAAAACAAGAATACATGTTCTTGTCATCTTTCCTTCTTTTGCAAGTTCTCTAAGTTAGGCTCCAAACAATTTTGCTATTATAGAACCAAATTTTGTTCCCAACAATATCCACCATCTATACCAAAATGGTAATTAGATTTGCTTCCTATCTTCTAGGGACCAGAGTTTGAACCTTATCTTCTGAAATAATATCTCCAATACCTTAAAAGCTTATAATAGATTGTAACGTATGCATAAACTAATGAAAACAAGATAGCATACATACCTTAATTATCTACAATATTCTTGCGAGTGTCAGTGGTGGTTCTCCAAATTGCAGAGAAACCACCCAAAAAAAGTGTATACCAGAGTTTTTTTTATTATCATCTTACTCATTACATAGAGAATGAACACAAAGTTCAGCATGTATTGAGCTAATATGTATTTATATCTATTTGCCCCAAGGAAAAAGGGTATACCGTGAGGTACAACATGAAATTAAATATACTGCTTTAGTTATCATATAACCAAAATTAACTTGATAAAACATTATTATATACAAGGGTTTTTATGTTGGTGTAATACTTTACTTCATTATTGGTGAAAAATAGATTAACTATTGAATTTTGGAATTATTTATAGGTGTATTACTAATAATAATTTAGAAAATAACATGACAGAGTTTGTACAAACCAAATTCCCCACCGAATGTGTACATTGCCAACTACCAATATTTGTTGCACGTTCATATCATTATCAATATATATAGCCAGGCCCAGACAGGTTTTTGCAGTTAATTGCTTCACCAGAATACGACAAAAAGAACCCATCGACCAAAAAAAAAAAAAGGATGTAAAGTTGCCATTTTAAGACTGGTTCAATTGATCTTGAAATGTGTCTACATTTAATTGTGGCCTTTTATTTAAATAATAATAATTTACAAATATTTGGACCATAGAAAAAATAGAGAGAAAACAGAAACCAAAGTTGCCAATAAAACGCTAGGGAAATTAAAGCAGAAATTAATTTTAAAAAAGAGTAATTTAAATTTTTAATCTCATGTGAATATCTTAATTAAGTAAATTTGACTTTCATAAAATACTAATTTAATTTAAAAACATAATTTGTTGAAATTAAATTGAATTAAATTTTTTATTATATTTATATTATTAATAATTAAATAAAAAATTTATAAAAATATTAAAATAATATTTTATTTATTATATTTTTTAGTTATTAGTTCATATATTTTTATAAATAAAGTACGTACTTTAATAATCACACTCTTCTTGTAATAAAAGAACCTAAAATTTTAATTCCCATCATTAACAATCTTTCACTCCTACCCTAAAAAACATTATTAGATACACCATACAGCATGTCTCATGAGTACATATGTATATATAAAGAACATTCCATGGTTATCCTAACTTAGGCACTGACTGTTATTTTCAAACCGATACATAATCACTCGTTGAACGAATTCCAAGTTAATTATTAGACCCTCAGTAACACACCTGATAAATAAACACATTTTAGGATGAAGCTTGTTTAATAACAGTAAAAACGTAATTATATCCTCAAAAAGAAAAAGTAGGACTATAATTATAATGTTACTACATACCTGTATGTGTGTATATATATATATATATATACCCACAGAGATTTAGATACACAAACACCAACTGACCATCTTCCAAAACCAAACTGTCTCTAAAATGGAAAGAAACCCGCCATTGATAACCTCCGAGTTCCTCCCAGTAGACTCTCAGAACAAAGCCACTGAGCTTCGTCTACTATCAATTTCAACTCCCCATATGCGTGCTTTTCACTTAGCCTGGCTCTCACTCTTCTCCTGCTTCTTCTCCACTTTCTCCATCCCTCCTCTCATTCCCGTCATCCGCCAAGACCTTAAACTCTCCGACGCCGACATCGGTGCCGCCGGAATCGCTTCCTTTCTCGGCTCCATCTTCTCCCGCCTCGCGATGGGCCCCGCATGCGACCTCGTGGGCCCACGTATCGCGTCAGCAACCCTCTCTCTTCTCACCGCTCCGGTAATCCTCGCCACCTCTTTAATTTCCTCCGCGAAACTCTTCATTCTCGTTCGGTTCCTCGTCGGATTTTGCTTGGCCAACTTTGTGGCTAACCAGTTCTGGATGAGCTCCATGTTTGCCGGGAACGTCGTCGGATTAGCCAACGGCGTGTCAGCCGGCTGGGCTAACGTCGGCTCCGGCGTGGCTCAGCTAACTATGCCACTTTTCTACTCGCTCGTTTCAGAATACTTCAATGTCCCATCATCCACCGCATGGCGAGTCATCTTCTTCATCCCTGCAATCTTTCAGGCTTCCATGGCACTAATGGTATTAGCCTACGGGCAAGACGTTCCCCCCGGAAACTACAAAGATTACTCTAAGAACTCCGGCGAGAATCCAAAACAGATGAGCTTCAGTGAAGTTCTCTTCAATGGGTTGACGAATTACAGAGGCTGGATCCTGGGTTTGGCGTACGGGTTCAGCTTCGGGGTAGAGATGACGATGGAGAATATAGTCGCCGAGTATTTCTATGATAGATTCGGGGTGGATATTGCGATTGCTGGATCAATTGCGGCCATTGTTGGGATGTCGAACTGGTTTTCCCGGCCGATGGGCGGGTTGTTTTCGGACCGGGCGGCTCGGCGGTTCGGGATGAGAGGGAGATTGTGGGCATTGTGGGCGGTTCAAACCGTCGGCGGTCTGCTGTGTGTAACGCTGGGGAGAGTTTATAAGTCGTTGTGGGGATCGGTGGTTGTGATGGGCGTGTTCTCCGTTTTTGTCCAGGCGGCTTCGGGACTCAATTTCGGCGTAGTGCCTTTTGTTTCCAAACGGTGAGTAATTTTTTTTAAATTAAGTTGGCTTCTTAAATTAATTTTCGGCTTGATTTTTTTAATATAATTCATAAATTTTATCAATTAAACTTACGAATTTTATAAAAACTACAAACGTTAATTATAATATAATTTAA